TTCGTCCTCAGGCGCTTCTCCAGTTCGAGGAAAAGCACTATCATCATCGGGATCATTCGGAAGGGACGGCAATTCGGGATTCATGATTGTAGGAGTTTCCTCTTCGGCGTGCAGATTTGCGCCCTCTGCCCCCAAAAGCGATGCAATGTCATGTGTAGATGATGAGGCTGAAGCAATGGCATCCGAAGTTTTGACTCTTTTCTTTTGGGGCGAAGGCGAGGGTGTGTCGAGCTCAATGGTGAGTGGTCCGTGTTTCTTCAGATGTTTCCAAACCTGCTGAGCTTTCTCCTTCTTCACTTGGACTTGTTGTCATCGTGGAATGTAGGAGGAAGCTTATGTTGAGCAGGATTGGCCTTGTACTCTTTGCAGATTGGCGCCTGAGATGGTTCTAGGAGATCTGGTGTGTCGTTCTCAGGCCACTTGATGAAGGTAATGTCATCCTTTGCAGTGCTCGCGATGCACGAGAAGACACCGTGATCCGCCAGAAGAATGGCATGCGTTCTTGACATGAAAGCACCCATGTCTTCAGAGCTGTCGATTCTGCAAAGGATGGCTGAATGAGATCGAGGAAATCTGAACAAGTGATGTTCCATTCATCTTTGCTGCGCATCTTCTCGACGAGGTCTTTCTCCAACTCCTTGTTGCACGGATTGTTGCAGGCTTGCCGTCCAGCAGACTGTTCAAAGTATGCGGAGGAGTAGCGGGCCCATACTGTTGCATCCTCTTCCTGACACTGGTTCTACTAGTTCCCGTCTATTTCAGGCGCACTTTGTTGGATAACCTTTTTAGGAAGACGATACGAATGTTCAACATTGAAACTATTTGTTTGCATCCAGGTAGCTGATGGATTCAGGAAGGCCTTCAAGAAGGAGCTAGCGTCATTCTTTTGCATCTGTCCGTCATCGAAGACACCAGGCTTGTATTTCGTCGGCGGCTCGGCCTTGAAGAAATCTAGATTCTTTGCTGTCACGATGGGCGGAATCATGTCTTCATCTCGTTCGTCCTGGGTGATTTCGAATTTGCCTAGTGCGAACAAGATTGTTTTTGATCCGGGTGATTTGCCACTACGGGTCTTTCCAATCCATGTAATGGCACGCTGCCTGATACTGCCGCGGAGCACCTCATTGAAAAACCAAGGCTTGATGGATTTCAGCGTGAACGGCCAGTATTCCAGAGTTTTGGCGTTCTGCCGTCCACGCATATATAATTCGTCAAAGCCGTGACGACCTTTCCTTCCTGCCAGCCTTCAATGGGTGAGCCTGGTGTGTGGATCTGCTGGTCAGTCCACTCCATAAACTGGTTCCGATTGTTTGTCTTGGGCCCCTTCTCTCGGATGAATCTATATCCCTCTTCTCGCGCCGCATTGTCGGGCGTTTTCTTGATGGTCATCTTTGGTTGGATACTCCAGAAGCGAATTTGTAATCCATCCATTTGGTTGAACATATAGTTCAACGCCAAGAGACCTGCTCTGTTTTGCCCACCCCATTCGAAGCAATGGCAAAGTCTCCGGCAGAGATCCATGCAAATGGATGATGGGATCTTGTTCTTGTTGGGTTATATGTGTTTGATAAGGTTCACATATTTTTCTTCTGGATTCGGTGCGTCTTCTGGAGGATTGACAGGAACCATGATGATTTGCATGAGAATGGGCACAGACACTTCTGATGTCAATGAGAATGGTGCTGGCAGATCCGTGCGCCTGCCATCCACTACGTTCTTGTAGATGACACGCTCGAAGTGATCGGTGTATCCATCCCAGGGGTGATCCAAGATGATGTCACAAAATTGTTCAAGCATGCCTCCATCTTTCTCCACAATGCGGAGAGAAAGATCATCAAACTGAACTGGCCCCTGTTCTCGAGTAGTTTGCAAAGGGTTGTCAAGTGGAGCAGTCAGCTTTGTTTCCTTTGTTTGCGCAATTGCCTCTTCAAATGTGAGAACTCCATCCTGATCAGATTTTGTGACGAAACATACTCATTGATGTAGCGTGTTCACTTTATAAAAGTGAAGCGGATGAAATTGATATTGAAAGTAAACAAACATTAACGCAGATTAGAAGCTGTTTTTGCCTCCATTTCTCGTCGGAGGCTTGCAGCCATGCTCACTCAATGAGTATACTTGGGGAAATTTTTGCGTCAAGCCAAAACTAGCAGATGAAGGCAGCCATGTCAGATAACTTAGTATGGCTGAAAAATTGATGTAAAAGTGCACTTCCACAGCCTGCCGGACTCTTTTTTAATAGGTACTCAAGTTACATGTGTGGGTTCAGCTTGTGTCTAACAAGGTCTTACAGTTGATGTTTGCGCAGGTTTATGTCTAGTGTGACAATTGCCTGTAAGGTTTAGGACAGTTGGCATTCATCTACGTTTATGACAGGCCTTGCTTAAAAATTGACGCAGGTCCTGCCCCGCATAGGTCAGACAGCCGATATTGACGCAGGTTTATGCGCAGCTTTTGGAGAAAGATGTGAGGGTTCAGGTCCTGCCCCAAGGAGGTATCAGGGTCAATGTTTGTGCGTTTTATGTCCAGGTTGACAACAAAATGCCGGGTTCAGGCCTTGCCCGTGAGAATTAAACTAAGCCTTACAATCTACAATTGATTTTTACACAGGCTTTCGCACAGTTTCAAAATAGAATGTGCGGGCGCAGGTCCTGCCCCAAAGAGGTCTTACTGGCGATGTCATTGTTGCAGCTTATGTCCAGCATGTTTCTCGTTCGCCAGTGGCACACAGACTGATGCAAAGGTACTTTCCACCACATACAGTTCGTACACACGTTTGCACCTTCCACCGTTGGACATCGCAAATTGCAATATACTCGCATTTTTTGATTTTTTTGACACTTGACATTCATTTCGTTCAAAAGGGGTCGAAAGGGTCGTTGCCGAAACATGGAAATCAAAGTTTTCTTTCAGTTTTTGACGTTTGACACGCATTTCGTGCGAAGGGGCTGCCACCGACAAATTGAACCAGCAATTTTGACACTTGACGCGCATTTCACGCGAAAGGGTTGCTTTTCGTGGCGCCTTGTCGGTGCTCCGCCCGAACTAAGAGAGAAAGATAAGAGTACGACGACAAGAGAAGGAGCTCTAGAGGGAGAAGAGAGAGAACATGAAAAAGAGTCAGGTTGAAAGTGAGAGATGCGCGGTTGTGAAGACGCGCGTGTTTGGCTATTACGCGCAGGTGTGAAGAGGCGCGTGTCTGGATACATGTGGATGTGAAGACACGCGTGTCCGGATATGCGCAGATGTTAACACGCGCAGGTCTGGATATGCGCTGGTGTGAAGAGGCGCAGATGTGCAGATGCGCATACCCGGATACCTGTCCGGATGTAAGTTGTGATGATATGTAACACTCACGTTTTGCTCTTGCGCTGAGTGCTTGTGCCTTTAAAAGGACCCTTTGCGCAGGCGCTCTCGGGAAAAAGGCCTTCTACCGCTTGATGCGGATCGTTGGTGCTCGTGACGCCGTTCCGGAAACTTGTCCTCCCACTAAACACACCATCAGCAAGATCAAGACCTGGGTTTCCTGCAACAGTGCCAACAAGAAGCAGACTGCCAAAGTGGAGGAGCTCTTCACTGAGATCGAGGTCATCGCAAATATGAAAGCCGACTGTCTTGACGCCCCCAATCCCGCCAATCAAGATGCTCTCGCCATCGCGAATGCCTTGAACTGTTGACATCACCCTGGGCACTCACCATTTTTCAACGCTGTTCAATTTCTATGCTTTGCGGAACAGTTTGTGCTCTTGCCATGTTTGGAGCACAGCTATAATATGGTGCTTATCAGCTACACCGTCTTCTTCGCCTTCGGCCCGCATCGCAATCTGATTTTCTTTTCCATCACTTTCGCCGCCAACCGGCCTCTTTGCTTTCAAGGTTTTCTGCTACCTTCGGCGGTATACCTTCGGCCTTCTACATCCTTTGTTCCGTTCTCGACTTTCAAAGGTCAAGCAAATTGTTCGATCGGGAAACACCCCGCTTATATGCAAATACCGCCAACTCGCCAAGCTACTACCAGATCGACTGCGACAATAATTGCGCCGCCTTCAATTGAATTATGCATGGTGCTACCGGTCAAAGTCCTTCGAGTCCATGTCAGCCGCCTTGCTCACCAACCCCTCAACATCATCAACGTCAATGTCCCAAGTAGTGATAGATATATACCATCGTTGGACAACCACATGTGGCCCCGACGCCGTACGGCTCGCCCTTTGAAGCTCCATGATGATAATTGTGTACTCCTCTGACCGCCTATCCTTGCCGCGCACCGATCGCGCGTTTCACTTGATCCCTCCTCACCGGGCGCGGACCTGAAAAGCGCTGGGGGGGGCGTATATGTGTCACCCTTGGAATGATAGAGGACCTCTTGGCGTGTCCAAATGACAAGACGTTAACTTTTTTGCTTTCTTTCAATTAAACTGTAGCCGCAGGGGCACGAAGACTGATTTCGCATCCCCGCCACCGAAGCGACGGAAATCAGTTGGAAGAGAGTTGGGGGGCCAACTCTTTGGCCCCCATGTTTGCTAATAAAGCTCAACTTCGGGGGCCTGTTTCTACGTATGGTGAGGCCGCTGCAATAAAGGGCTGTGGTGCATTCTGTGGGCAAGTGATGGTTGGAGCCTTTTTGATTTGGTTTGGAACACTGCAGCTTGACGCCGCCCCACTTCATCCCAGGTTATTAAGATTCAGACCTCTTGTACTACTTAGACAGCTTCAGGGCAAATGTGACTGGTGGGGCTAATGATAATGAGGTTGAGCCAGGGTTTTTTAGCCCTGAGCCCCAGACGGATCAAATGTACTTTGTTCACGAAATAAGTGTTTGCTTGACTGTATGTGACCTTAATTTAATGTGCTTCATATTGAGTAGGCTGCAGACCATGCGTGCCAGTTAGCGCAGCTAGATATAGCACTTTTGATGCATATATTTTGTTGGTTTGCAAGCGCCTCAAATTTGGCAGCGCTGTCTCGGGCAGGGCTCGCAGCTAATGCTTCATGTGCAGGTCAAGCGCCGCAATTCTACCAGGACTACGCGCTGCTCTCAGAATAGTGTATTCCGCAGTTCAACGGTGTCCCCAGCAAATTTGAGAAGCTGTGGCACTGGCTCGAGCAAAGTCAGTGCAAAGATTCCTCAGGTTCGGCAAATCCAAGAGATCATCATTGAGAATGCCAAGAAAGAATTCAAAGCCATTTGGGAGTGCAACAAGCAAGGAATCAAGAAGGCCCATACCAACTTAGCCCCACAAGTCATTAGCGTTGGCCGGTGCATTTGCTCCCGGTAGGTTGACGCAACTCGCCTCATCTCCAGCGCCTCGGCAAAGCATTGGAATTGACCGTCTGACAACACAGGGATCCTGTAGCTCCTTGCTTTGCAAGAGATATTTGGCTCTGAAGGAGGCCAGGTTGCGCAAAAATCAAGAAAGCTAGCTGTAGCTAGCCGGAGTCTTTTTGCTTTAGAACCCATATGTTTCTTTGTTGCTGCTGCTTTGCTGCTGTTGCCGCTGCTGCTTGGTGGTTTGCTATCGCTGCTGTTGCGGTTGCTGCTGCTGGGTCGGTTTGCACCACCCATACTTTACGCCAAACCACGGTTTACACCAGACCACAGTTTACACCAACCATCGTTTACACCGCACCACCCACGGTTTACACCAAGTCACGGTTTACACCAAGCACCCTTTACACCAAACCGCGTTTTACACCAACCACCGTTTACACTTACACTAAACCACGTTTTACAACCAGCCATGGTTTTCACCAAACCACAGTTTACACCAAACACCGTTTACACCAAACCACGGCTTGCACCAACCACCGTTTACATCAAACCACGGTCTACACCAACCACGGTTTACTCCAAATCACGGTTTACACTCACAGGAAACATATTTTTCAGGTCCCAGCTGTGATCGTATGTTTGTTATGCCTATCGGTGTTGGACAATCCTGCATTTGCTGCTGCCTGCTGCCGCTGCCACTGCCGCTTCTGCTGCCGCTTCTGGTTGTTGTGGCTGCTGCTGCTGCTGCTGCTGTTGCTGGGGTGGTTGTGTGTTGCCTGTGTTGGGGTTGTATTGGGGGGGCACCGTTGCCACTCTCCTCCTTTGCCCTTGTGCAGTGGTGCCTTTGACAGATGCGCACTTGAACGCGTTACCCAACCGGTACCCAGCGTATAGCGTATGGCGTATAGCAAAGTTGCTCCAAAATGGTTGTTTTGCGACGGGATTTTATATACTTTGAACATATTATCGTAGTAGAGCAGAGTAAGACGAAAAGAACAGAAGAGTAGCGCACAGCAGGGTAGAGAACAGAAGCGTAGAGTACAGCAGAGCAGATTTGGACAAGCAAAGAACAAAAGAGGATGCCTCGCAGAATTCATGTTTCGCATCTTCAGCTGCCCTGGGAAGACGAGGTTCAATTCATAAGTTCAATATATAAATCTATTTGTCAGTTTATAATAGTCTATATGTTGATGTTTGCACGCGCAGAGATTCAGAAAAGCCGACTTCAAGACACATTACTCTGTTGAGAACTCTTCGCGGGCGGGCGGACGTGTGCGCGTGGGTGCATCACGGCCCTCCATTCCTCAATCCCTTTCACCCACTCACCGTCTCACCCACACACCCACGCACCCACTGACCGTGACCGGGCACAGGCGCAAATAAAAGTAAGAACCCCCACGCACTTGTGTGGAGGGCTAGCACGCACAAGGCACAAAATCCAGAGACGCCAGAGATCGAGATCAGAATATATCGTTGCGTGTACATATAAAGAAAACAATTATATATAGGTTATTGTTTTAAGTTTCCACGCCTCCAAGATGGCCATACCAAAATTTAAAGCATGGCGCATATTGCAGTTGCTACAGCAGTTTAAGAGGGCATGCATGGATGCGAGGCTCAATGACCCCCACAAGAAGAATAAGCATGATGAGCAGGGCCGATGCAGGGTGCCTTTCGCATTTCTACCACATGAGATAGCCCTTATGAGATAGCCCTTGATCTGCAAAATTCACTCATTTCCCAGACTTGTCCCAAGTCATTGGACCCGGGCGCACGGGCTTGCATGCATCACACAACTAATTAGCAGTTCACACTGGTCAACCACACTGTAATTCTATCGCTTGTACGCTTGGAATTAGAGCCCACTGGCTTTGCCAGGAGAACTCGTATGTATGAGTCCAATGAGGCCATTGGCATGAATCGCGTGAATGTATTTGATGCGCCCATGTTCTCTCGTTGTTTCCTTTTGCCCTCACTTGCTTCGGCCGAGGCAAAATTACGCAAATGCAAGACGCCATCATGGTCAAGATCCAGGACTCTGGGGTTCCGTGACAAGTTTTGCTTCGGACGCTTGTCGATGATATTCGATGATGCTGGGTTAGTGCGTAAATTATCGTAAATTCACGTACTGTATATATTATGCCTGACAGTAGTGAAAATTGATCCAGGTGACCACTGAGTGTCTGATTAGTTTTGTCGGATTCATTTTCCTCGATGGTAGGATTCTGGCGATAATTCTGTATAACATTTCTTAAATTCATCCTGCCATCAGATTTGTGGGTTGAGAGTACTGTGGTTTATTTTTGAGACGCGGAGGTCTGATGAATATTAATCATCAGGTGATGCACCGTTTTGGATTATTTTGAGACTGCTCAAATGAATGCTTGCTATGGCCATGGCACAAGAAACAAATCTAAAGAATAGTGTCAGAGAATCTTCAGTGTCTAAAACTAATCAACGCCTTTGCAAGTGCTTTGTGTTCAGAAATGGTAGGGCGATGAGGGGGCCCTGGGTTATTTTGAACCATCCCCCTACCTAGGAATTAATCTAGATCTATCTTCCTCCAGATCAAATGTCCAAAAAGACTCTAGAGGTAGTCCAACAGTTTTTCTAACTAATCCAGGGGTACCTCCCACTACTCGGGTCGGATGACTCAAGAACAAATGAGCCCCAACAGACTCTGGTGAATCCACAAAAGATTCTACCAATCAGCTAAGAGTTTTGAAAATCAGGTAATGCTATCCAATGTCCAATCCACAATTTTTTTAAAAAAGTCAGACTTTTAATTTTAATGTTATCAATTACAGTCAATTCATAATGTTCAATTGGAATTCGACCTGTTTGAGTGGCTGCAGGAGGTGCCCGATGGTGTTTGACCGTCTCTTTTTTTGTTCTGATGATTGGTCGGCTTGTTGGCTCCAGCCAAGCTTTGGAAAGCGGGTGAGCCTTGTGAAGACAGCAGGCTAGTTTGGGCTTTGTGGGTTGGACTGAAAGTCTTTTACGCCTTGAAGTGTCGGTGGCGGGCTGACTTTTAGTCCCTCTAGTCACGTCGTTCTTCCGGACTGCTCCACACAGTCCTTGATCTGGAGACCAGCTGCGAGCTGATCATGAGGTTCACCTTGTCCAATACCCAATACCCTGACCAGAGGAGCAAAGTTCGCAACCAAACAACTTCTGACCTCCTGCGTTTGCCACGAAAAGCCTACTTGAGATTTGAGACCACCGAAACATAAGGCTCGGAGACGACAAAGTTATCACCAAGTTGGAAGACATGCCACAGCGAGAGCACAGTCGCAAAACCACGGCCCACTAAAGCATTGCGCCTGCCACGAAGAAGCATTAGGCGCTGCGCGCGAACCAGCGACCAAGGCGAAACCTGCCCACAAACCCCTGCCTTTGAACTACCACCCATTCCCGCAAGAACCCCCTTGTATATATTTATATATATATATTCTCAATCGCAATGGTGGCAACCGAAGTCCACAAAGCGTCCAAGCGAGTCCAAAGAGCGCACCTTTATGGCTGCGAGTGTCGAGGTCGTAACACGGTTGGATCAAGGGCCCTTCGGACAGAGAAGCGACGGCAGTCGCACATGGAAAATGCATGTCCTCCAAAGACATGTACAGCAAAATGCATTCGCATGTTGACACAGGCCAAAAGTTTATTTCCATGGCCTTCGAAAAACATTCAAAATTTGAGCCCTCTCATGACCGATTCAGGTCACTTCGAAACTCCCATGCTCCGCAAGCATGGTCTGGCAGGACACTGGCTGTCCTGGAAGGCAGGGTGGTGTCCTGATCAAAACTCAACTTCGTTTGGACCATTTTGTCCTTGATCTCACCCTTCTCATTCAGGAACTGAAGGCGGTTGATCCTCTCGAGGGATTCAATGCGAGCTCTCTGCCTCACAACGCGCTGATTGCAATCAGCAAGGAAGCAGATGTTGTCATTCCACATCCGGTGCCATTGACGCACCTGATCATCCGAGAAGCTCTGAGTTCGAGCTGTTTTCAAAAGCTCTCGGAATTTCCGCCAGCGCTGGGTCGTGTAGCCCTCGGTGGTCAGGATGAGGCGTGTCTGATCGTCCAAGGCGCTGTTTTCATCATTCAAATCTCTCAACAACTTCCTCCAAGCGCTGGAGCTGGGTTCATCTTCAACTTCTTTGAGAAGCTTTTTCCATCGGTTGTACTCCTCATCATCAAGCTCGCTGTCGGAGTTGCAAGTCGAACTGCCGGTGTCGATGCCCGGTCGGTAGTCGATGCCTGGTCGTCTTGAAAGGGCCAGGATTTGTTCCATCACCTCTCCCCGATGTTGAGGCAGGGTGCATGTTCGGTCATTGTTCTCGACCGTTTCTTCTTTTTCATTCTCTTCATTCTTCTTCCACAGAACCATTGCCTTCTCGAGGAAGAGATTATAGATCTTGTAGGTCATGTGCTCCAGGCCAATGCATGCAAAGAAAACCAAAACACCAACAGTGAGCCAAAAGCGAGCGCCGAGGTAGGACTCAGGGATGCGCTCATCGTTCTCGGTGGGGCTTCCTTCAACAACTGGCATTTCATTGGCAATCAAACAAGTTACAGCCGACATGGCTGCCGTTCTCCAAGCATCATGCCTTTGACCTTGTCGATGGGCATGGAGGTAGAAGTGGCGTCTGGAGCAGAACTTATTCTTTGGATTGGAGGCATCACATGTTTTCTCACAACCAGGAAGGGCGCAGAGGTTGCCATCTTTCTCCTCAAGCGCAAGTTTTCAAAGATGTTTTTCGATGCCTCTTCATGTTCTTTTCTTTCAGCTTCTTTCTCCTCATAGGTGACCTTCTTGGCGGCGATGAAGTCCGGCTCAAAGCTCAACTTGTGAGTGCCTCGGTTCAAGACATAGGCCAGGTTGTCTTTTGCTGCAGGCTTTGTCAAACCGTCAGCTATTTGTTGTTGTGAGTTCACCCAAAACCATCGTCCATCAAGAGCTGACATTCGATCCCTCACTATAGCAACTTCGATTGCAGTGCGGCGTTCACTCAACTTCATGCCAGGGGTGATGCTTCGTGCAGCGTCAAACAGGATCGAGCATCAGTGGCAAGTGGAGACGTGCCAAACTTCCTGAGGGCCTCAGTCGAACCAATGTCCAAGGTGGGGTCCACAACGCAAGCCATGAAGATCTTGCTCCATTCAAGCTCATCAACTGCTGCTGCGGCGGCCTGTGCTTCAGCAGACAAAGAAGACCTGCAAATGCGCTGCAACTTCTTGGACTGCCACTGGAGTATCGTCAGCGGCATTGGTTTCTCTGAGCTCAACTCTTCATGGTTGCACAGGAAGACCAGCAGACCTCCCTGTGACGTGCCATCTGGGCGAACTGCCCATGCAGCATCGGTGTAGGCACCAATGCACAAAGCCGAGAGGTCGCCGTGGGCGTGGAAGGTCATCTTGTACTCCTTGGTCACATTCTTTGCAAATCTCAACAACTTGTTGGCCTCATTGACGTCCTTGATCAAAGGGCTGCTGGATGCTGATTGCAGGATGCTGACACTGGCACAAAGTTGTGGTACACATTGATGAGCTGGCCAGGCAAGTGCTCCTAGCAATGCACGAAGTTGTTTGTGCTCTTTGTCAGTGCAAGCATCGTTGACCATTGTTTTCCGTGACTTGTCCAAGCAAATCGGTTTCACCTTCTGGCAGTATTGCTCGAGGGAAATCTGGATGGTCTCGTGGTTCAAACTCTGGACCACGTCGGCTCCACAAAACTTCACTCCCAGACTCGAGCCAAAGTCCCAACTGCCAAACTTGAATCGCCGGGAAAGCTTTTGAAGGCGGCCAGCGAAGGTGTTCTCATCATATTCAAACTCACCTGTGATGTCATTCAAAGTCGTGACACCTTCTCCAGCACCGATGAAGTCATCCACATGGAGGCCTAGAATGCCATCAACAATGCAATGAGTGCCATTGTATTCGAAGACGCAGAAGGGATCATCACCATCGGCAGCTTGTCGCAAGGAAAGATACGCACAGCGGTCGAGTGGGTGTGCAATCAAGTTCAACTCATGCAGTAAGTACTCATTTGCTGTGTTGTTCCATTGCCTTGGTGCACGAACATCTCCAAAAGCTGGTTTGCAGGCTTTCATAATTTGCCATGGCTTGAGGTCAATCTTTTTCTCGAGCAAGCGACGCATGTCAGCTGAAGTTCGGATGTAGATCCTGGTAGTTGCATCGATGCTATCCGCCTGCATGAAGGCTGACTTCACATCGGCTGACCAAAGCTTCCATCGCTTGTGAGTTGCCATGACATAGACAGAGTGTCGGCCAAGCATGGATAGAGTTGGAGATCCCGCTCAAGCTCTTCATTGAGAACGTCTTTGCGCTTGAAGCCTTGGATGATGACACGAGCATTTGCTTGTGGTCCATCTTTCGTTGGTTTCCATCGTTGTAGAAACCTGGCTGGGATCACTTCACCATCGTGGGCCTCGTCCTCATTGACAGGTCGCCAAGCATCATGATCGAACCAGATCTGTAATGCTTTGCATCGAGCCTCTTCAAACAGCTGCTTTTCTGCAGGGGTGAGTTTCTTCTCGCTGAAGGTCTCAGCAACCAGGCTCTCATCAGCATTCATTTCATTGAAGCGGTTCTGGAATGAGCGATCGTCCTCACCAACCGCAGGTAGGCCATCCAGAGTGCGTGCATCGTTGTAGGACTTCAAAGCACTTTGCCTCAAGTTCTCAAAAGAGGCTGCACGTTCATCTCTGAGGATTGGACTTCGCGATCTTGCCCTGTTTTCACTTCTTTCTTCTGCTGTTGCTGTGGTTCGTGTTTCTGCAGCGGCGGCTGTTTGCGTGTCTGCAGCTGCCGCAACGTGTGTATGTGGTTCTGTATCTGCAGCGGCGGCTGTTTGCGCTGCAGCTGCTTGTTGCTCTGGCTCTGTCGTTTCTTCCGTTGTTTGTGACTTCCGTTGTCCGGTCATGTTGTCATCTTCTTTCGGCTCAAGCTGCTCATTCGCCATCGTTGGAGGCGAGGTAGCTGACAACAGTGGCGCCTTTGCATTCGAAAAGGTGGGACCGGTGGCAAGATCTAAAAATCTGACAGGACCCTGCACAGGAATCAAGGCATTGCGGACTCGATCACAAACAGGTTGACTGAGAGCAGTTTCAGGCATAGATTCCAAACGGGCCAAGCGCTCAGCAGGCACTTCTGCTCGAACATGCTCAGGGGCACAGCGAGCCAAGCTGCTTCCATGGGCCAACCAATAGACATGAGGCCGGAGAATGCCGTCCTCAGTGGTGCGAGGCTCTATTGCGGACACAAGTCCCGGTCCGCGCCATCGATGCGCGTCAAGCTTGGCCTCGGGAGAACGCCAGTAGAATGCAAAATCTCCCAACTGAAGAGGTTCAAGCTCAGGCCGTGGGCGAGACAGAATGGAGCGCTTGAGGAGTGCGTCATGGTTTGCTTCGTAGAAAGCTTTGGATTCCAGATGCTGCATGGTCTTGCTGAATGGCCTCGTGGACATCAGGTCGCGTTGGTGCTGGTTCGTCTATGAGTCCACCACTGGCTGGGTTGTAGCCAAAGACCATCTGAGCTGGTGAAGAACCATGCACGTTCCGAAGGCGATTCCTTTGACTGCAAGCCATGCGAACGGCATCAGCAAGCTCCACATTGGGCTCACCTTGTTGCATCTTGTAGAGCTGAAGGCGGCGAACTGCATGCAAGCGCTCAACTGCACCCATCCTGTAGTGGGCCTCTTTGGGAACAATGATGAGCTTGATGCCATACTTGTCAAAGAACCTCAGATACTGCTCACTCATGTGGGCCCCACAGGCATCAGTTCGAAACTTGCTCGGAGGTCCAAAAGGATGGATCCATTGTTCCTCAAGCACTTTCAACTCACATTCTTCAGTTTCTCGCTCCACCACTGCATTGACCTCATACTTGGTGAAGGTGTCGAGGATGGCCAAGATCTTTTTCTTCTCATTGTTCCATTTGACATGGAAGACATCAACTTCAAGCAGCTCATTGAAGTGCGAAGACTGGGGCAATGAACCAGGCTTTGGCAACTTGCTCATGAGGTGTTTGACACAAACATCGCAACGAAAGTCGCGAGCGCATTTGATGATGGAGTCGTCCATTTGTGCATCCCTCATGGCTTTGATCAACTTGTCGTTGCCTGGATGTCCCAATTGTTTGTGCAGCTTCGTCACCACAGAGAGAGCTTGCTTGCTGTGACTCTTCATGAGCTTCTTCTCTTCCTCCGTGATGCCAGAGGTCTCTGTGATTGCCTGGGTCTTTTCATCCATATTGACATCCTCGGAGACGAAGATTTGAAGAACTTCACGTTGTCTCCAGCGACGTTCCATAGAAGCCATGATGGCTTTGGCTGCACACTTCACGAATCCAGGTTCGTAGTTTTGCATTTGTTTCAAACTGCAACTCTTGCCATCCATGTTGACGTGATCGTAGCTTTTGCATGTGCATGGAAGTCATCATCATTCGTTCTCAATCTTGTAGGCTTCTTCACTTTTGCAACATAGTTGCCTTGCTTGTCAAAGTAAAAAAGACCAGTTTGGCATCTGTTGCACACGGCGTCATAGCAGTTGTCAATGCTGCTCAATGCTTTGGTATCCCAAGGCATGATGTGGTTGTTCAACTGCAAAGCCGGAGTTGACGTCCTTACAGATGTCACTGGTGTCCTTGACCATCATGAGGTGTGAATTCTCTTCAACATCACGCTGGTCCATCAGGTTCTTCATCTTTTCGGGAGTGCCACAGTTCAATCGTTGAATGGTGCTCCATACACGACATGGCGGTGCCATCCAAACATAGTGAGGTTTCACCCTTTTCCCAAGCTTCTTGAAAGCGTCTCTGACTCCTGGAACGCTGAAGTCCCATTCTGGAAGTCCGAAGGTTGATACCTCTACATGAGGATAGTTCTTTGCCAGGTAGGTGGCGATGTTGCCCTCATCGACGTACACCTCGAAGAAGATCAGCTTCTTGTTTTCATCAATTCGTGCTCCAATTTGATCCAGGATTTTGAAAGCTTCATCTTGTTCAACTTCAATCAGCACATGGTCATCACAGTTTGTGGCTTCAGATTCCAGGACCGGCTCAATGGCAAAAACGTCATTGTTGTGGAAGGCCTCCTCAGTGATGAGCGCCATGTCCTTGCTGTCACCATCAAAGTCCAGGAGGTTGAGTAGATAGTGTCCTTTGGCTCCTCGTGCAGGTTTGAACCAAGGAGATACACCGATCTTGAGCTCATTGGTTTCTTAGTTTTGCTTCACCTTCCAGTCCTCAAGAGTAGGGCGAGCGAGCAAGAAGGGCGTGGGTCCCGGCACGACAGAGGCACAGATTGGAAGTTGTTGACCCTTCACCATGGCCATGAACTTTACCTCATAGCTTGATCGAAGAACTTCTCCTCCTCCAAACTTGAAGTCACGCACCTGAGGACGAGTTTGGATCTTGAGGACATCATCGAAGTTGCCTTCCTCAAGCCATTTCTTCCAGACTTCTTCTCCAACGATGGTGCGTGTGGCTCCAGAGTCAACAATTGCCATACCAGGACCGAGCGACGCAAAGTATACCTCCTCCTCATCGAAGTGGCATAGTGGCACATCATCTTCCACCATGGTGACTTGTTCTTCTGGAACTTCTTTTTCACCTTGGGCTTGTACTCTATAGCGTTTGAAGCGAGGGCCATGACTGGATGTTGATCCTGACAGCGTTGACTTGTAGTCAGAACCCGAAGTGGTCGTCGACGCTGAAGAGGGTGCAAATGGCTTTCTCAAACCAGCCATGGGTCGTCGTTGTTGAGGTGGAAATCGTCGTGGAGCTCCTTTTCCTTTTCCTTTTGAAGGTCTTGACTTGCTCTTGCCTTTGCCTTTGGACTTTCCTTTTGAACCGTAGCCATCACATTCAGGCCCAATGGCGACAATGGGGTAGAATCCCCTGGAGAGCGCAAGTTCCTTCATCCTCCTCCGAGAGTCCACATAGGAGATGTAGGCTTCATCCATCTCATCAACTGCCTCCTCCAGATCCTCAGGGATCTCATCTTCGAAGCCTCTTCCATTTCATCTTCATAGTATGTCTCATACCACTCCTCTTCATCATCCATGTAAAACTCCTCGTCAGGGTTGATGTCATCCTCATTCACGAAACCATCGTCCTTGACTGTCTTGGTGTTGGATGACAGGTCACGAGGATTCGGCTTGTGGTCGCCGCCGAAGACATTGAGCAAAGCTTGATGAACTTGTTCATACTTGAGCTCGCCGTTGCAAAGACTCTTGATCTGGATGTGGGTCCACTTTGGCACACCAGACCGTGTGAGAAGGTGCCAACCAGCTAAAAGCGGCGGGATCTCGATGCCAATCTCCCGGAGTTTCTTCAACTGAGTCTTGTGGCGAATCAAGTAGGCCTGCATTTCTTCTCCCCGGCTTCTCATGAACAACTGAAAGAAGTCTTCACAGCGTACGGGGACCTCAATCTCTTCTTCATACTGGTACAGGCCGTCTAACAGCTTCAGCACGGGCTTGAAGGGATCCGTGTTCCGCTCAATGTCATTCAGGTCGAGCTGCTCTGAGGCTGCGTCCCAAGCCAAATTCTTGAGAAGGCTCACCACCAACTCAACTTCTGCATCTCCTGCGGCATTGGAGGGCAAAGAGTTCCAACCTTTTTCTAAAGCTCCTGTAGTTGGACTGCCGAAGAAGCGGCTCCATTGGCTCTCGATGGAGATCGTGTCCCTTCAGGCTCAGGCGTCCATCCATCTCCTTCAGCAGGTGGGACATCTTGTTCGCGGCGTCGACGTTGTTGTCCACCACCACTTCCTGCCATAGTGGCGCTGCGCACGATCTTTGAGATCTTGTTACCTTTAAACGGTAGGAGGATGCCAAAGCAGTCTTCAATCAAAAGGGTCCACCTCCAAGATCTTTCCGAGGATCGTGTAGCGCCCCGCTACCAATCTCAATCACATGGAAAACGCATGTCCTCCAAAGACATGTACAGCAAAATGCATTCGCATGTTGGCATATATATATACATATAATCTTTATATCCCTTAGTAACGGGAAACTGGCAAACAAACAAAAACAGGGACAAACAAACAACATCAAACAACTAGACAAACAATTTGTCCTCGCGCGCCAATAGTTTGGGAGCGCCCTCTTCTTCAGCAAGGACGTGTGATCTCTATATTGGGCTTGCGCATTGATTTGTCAGGTGAGGTCCCTGTGCCACTTCGTGACACGCTGTGAGCGCACGCGGTGCACCGGTGCAATCCCGCAACTGGTTGGAGCAGATAGAAACCAGCTCATGGGGCCGAATGCGCGTGTCGTACTTACCCCGAAGTCCGAACTATTCAGTTTCGTCGCCGCTGTCCAGACTTTCTACCTGTCGCGTTGTCCATTCTCAAGTAGCCATATCATTCATTCAAACCTACTGAGCCCTTGTTGGTTCAGTTTTAACCCGTTTACCAGAGGACATGGGCGGCGATGAACGAGATCAGCTCGTGCGCAGCGTTTTGGCCATGGCAATCCCACCTTTGATGCTGCAGTGTCCCGGCATGCCCTGGGCATGTTATGGGGCTCTTGTGATGCAGAAAAAACATCGCCGCACTCACTACTACCATGAGCTTTGTACCGTTTGTACACCTACATTGTTAAAGGTTTAGACACATCAGCTCCCCAAGGAAGCAGGGCATCGAGGCCAGAGACAGTGAAAGGTCGGTGTCTTTGTGGAGGCTTTCAGTTATACAAACATCGCGTTTGCCCTGCCAGGGTCTCCTAAAAACTGTACCTTCCAACTATGTTTCGGCCATTGTTGGAGCATGGGTGGCTTCCCGCTTTGTATACTCGCACCTTGCCGTGATGTGACGGGTCGAACACGGGCAGACTGGCAGAGAGTATGAAAACTGGAGAGGGTTGATTGTCCATTGCAATGTTTTTCTTTGATTTGTTGCTCTTTCTCAAGTCCGAGCCGTCCCAGGCATGGCATCAACGCTTCCGAGGTGCCGAGGGCCCATATGCGGACAACACGTCGTGGATCCTGATCCTTCACACGTGCAAAGCTGCAATTCATACTGTGTAGAAAGATGCCGACATGCCCGGCCCAAACATGCACACTGTAGCGTGGCACACCTGGCATGTGGAACGCAAGTTCCCCAGGTAGGTACAAGTGTTCCCCAGCATCCGGGCGTTGTGTGTATATGTTGCATATGTTACACATGCACAGACAGCTTGCGTTGCAAATTCTTGTTGCACAGCTTGAACACTTAGAGCTCCATGCTCGATAACTCCAAGCCTGAACATGAAGCTCGAAATCTGCCACGTTCTAAGTCTTGTTCTATGCTGCGCGGTTGTTCTTGCAGATGGCATGTTCCAAGACGACGTGTAAGCTGTTCGCTCAGAACACATCAAGTGCCAATGGAAGTGCACTAGGAGCAGTACCTAGGCAATTGTGTGTAGCATATACAACTTTACCGACCGCCGAATCACCTTTTGGCTCACGCGCCCGTTGAAGAAAATATATATAACGCACGACATCCTTCACGCGGACGCGGAGGTGACTAACTGTTGTTTTCACTGCAAGTTGTTGGTAACACCCATGCGCAGGTTATCAGCCGTACCCGATCTTGAGTACGAACTATCGAGAGACCAACAACATATTCTGACCAACTATGTCCAGTTCCGGAGGAAATGGTAGTGAACCCTATTTCCTTGCCGCCCCTGGAGGAAACACGTCACCGTCATCTCCTGACTCATGACTCAGGAATGACAGGCGCAAGCTCAGCTGATGCGACGCCAACCGATCAAGAGAAGGTAGCGCCGTTCCAACGCAAATTACCACCGGCTCCACGTCAGGAGGGCTCTCCGAACCTCGGCAGGTCTGCATCGCCAAGGGTATCCCACGCTCGATCACCGACGAAGAGTATTGAAAAGACAAGCATAACCCGTGGCAGTCCTGACCTTAGAAGAAGAGAGGTGCAGTCATTGGAAGAACTACGATCATCCAGTATGGCCTATAGGTTTCTGCGCGACGCGCATTCTCATTTTCAATCTGGATACACAGAATACACTGATTCGTAACAGAGATCTGGGGAAGAGTTCGCAAATGTATCAGAATATGGAAGGACCATAGAGTTTCGACTGCAAGAGAAGATGCAAGAAGACGAAGGCGCTACGATTAGGATAGGAGAACTTGAGCACAAGCTTCGACTTGCAGAACAAATGGCAGATCTTATCTATGGGAAATACAAAGAACTAGCTCGAGAAGCAATGAAAACATTCAGAATTTTGCACTGTGAATCAAAAGGTTGAGAGCGTGTCTAATGAACTGCAAGCAGCATTAAGACATATTCATCAACAGACACAAAGTGCCACAACGATGAGTGCACATGCACAGAGATGCTCAACAGCGAGAACATTGCCATGAGAAATGTTGCCTATCAGTTACAAGCAAGAATGTTAGCACTCCGGGACGAGAACACAAACATATTGGAAGTGACTCAGCAAGAAGAGAGAGGCAACTGGATAGCGAGCAATACCAGCTACAGCTCATGGATGTCGCAGGCAAACGAGAGCCACAATCATCAACCACTTGTCATTGAACACCTCAGAGGACAAGTGGCTTCATTAAAGGGTGTCGAACACAATTCCTACGCTGAGGTTAGCTATCGTGACACTGAGCTTCATGCAGAATCACAGGCATACCAGATAGAACTATCCGCAGAGAAAATGAAAAGCTCACATTTGCACTTCGGGGCTAAGATATTGAAAGATGCCAAAATGGAGATTGAATAGCCAAACACCTCTAGGATAGCAGGACGCGAAAAGGACCAGATCAAAAGAGCCAATATCGCACTTAAAGCCAACACCCAGTTGAAGATGAGCAACATCAGAGGAGCACCAGGCCTTGGTGGTCAAGGTGATTCAGGACTTGACGAGAAAGTAAAGAACTTAGAGGGAGTCATAGAATACTTGGTTGAAGGTTGAAATGCAGTCTTCATCCTTTTCATTTCAGCGAATCATGATGGTCTTGATGGTATGGGGGGGAGCGAGCCACCGGCTGGTTCTTCCTACCACGAGAGCGAAAGGATGAGACATGAGGAATGAGCGAGACGAGGTCTATGAATCTATGATTGGCATTCTGATGCTCATGACCAATACTACCAAGCAGCGGAAGAAGTTGGAGACCAAGAAGCAAAAGCACATAAACTGAGGAATGAATTCTCGACCAAGTGTAAAGAGAGGAGGAATCGAAAGTTGTGACCTCCTTGGCCAAGGGTCAATGATTTGGGACTATGGAAGGCAAGCTTGATTGTTGCTGCCAATGACCCTGATCAACAACCTTGGATAGATTGATCCCAATCCGGGCAAATTGGAAAACTCCGGAGACCCAATATTTCACACGATTGATGCAAAGCTTGGAATGGCCCTGCACAAAGCGGCGACGCATGCCGAGGAAGATGAAAACAAAGTTGCCACGAAACTCAGGACGAGAATCAATGCAAAAGGAGGATCTTCCGGTTCCATTAAATTGGCATTCACCTTGCTCAGTTTCAAGACAACATCCAACGTTGAGGTTCTGTATACTTCCGTGCATTTGTATCAACTGGAATATCAGGGAGATAAGAACTCCATACTTGGGATGAGATCATTGCGGGAATGAAGCCCAATGACATACCAACTGAAGACATATCAAGGGGTTTGTTGTCGTGGAGAAAGACCATGAACTCCAATCTCACGGCCTACATTATGAGCGCCTACAACAGCCTGGGTGAAGGTGACCTACAACAACCTACGCGATATTATCAGGAGATACACCGAGAGGCAGACCTCAGACAAGATGCTCTTGGGAAAGGAGAAGGCGTGAAGAACCTTGCAAATATTTTCAGGAATCTAAGAGCTCCTGCGCCTAAAGGGAAAGCTATACCGGCAGATCCATATCTAAAGAGGAAGCCAAAACCTGGTGGAGCACCTGAGGCTGAGGAAGCTGCAACAGTGAAGCCGAGACTCCAAGACCCAATCCCAAGAAACATCCAGAGGACAAGAAGAGGCAGAAGCACAAGTACGGACAAGAGGAAGGTCCTGCGCAAACTCTATGCCAAAGGGGAATGCACAAAAGGAAGGGACTGTCCATACACCGCCATAAGAAAAGCACGTTCTCAGATGACAAGTTACCAGGCAGAAAAGCGATGATCACATTTTGGGGATGGGTCAGAGGAACACGCGCGAAGGCCAAGGAATGCAAGTTCTCGCTCCGAAGAAGAAGCAAGAAGCCATCTGCCGCGGCGGATGAGAACGATGAGAAGCCAAAGCCTAAACCAGAGATCAAAGGGAAACCTGGGGCACCGGAAGGGACACCAGCAACCCCAAGAAGAACGTATCTATCAATGATGATGCTGCTGAGATCATCCTTATCGATGCCGTTTTTTTTCTGAGAAAAGGTATGGAAACAAGCGATCAAGAAACCTTTGAGACCTGATATCAAGAAGTATAATACTCAAGAGAAGGCAAACAGGGAGTAGAACAGGTTTTATGCGAAAGTTGCTGAAGCAAGAGCTATCATAATGATCCCTTTACGGATATCAAGGAAGTTCACCTTCCTGTTGGCCTGAATGATGGGGATTTCCATTACCATGCGCTTCGACGATGAGGATGGACTTGCGTTCAACCACCGATTGATCCCACACAGAAAACGCGCGCACACTCTTGCACCAGCCCGTGGGTCACGATCAAAGTTCATTATGGATTCAGGGTGCGGCCACGACCTCATTTCAAAGAATAATGGCAAACGAATTAGGGCTGCAGATTGAAGAGAGTGACAACCAACCCCATGTCAGTCTACACGGCAAATGACGTGACAAGTACATCCACCATTGCGAATCGTCGTTTTGGAGAGTTCAACGTGACTATGTCACGGAAGAACCATCATCAGGGAAAGAGAAGCATGGGGGAAGGAGATCGCAAGAAAATCAAAGGTGATATTCCTTACATTGTCAATCACAGCGAGCTATGTATACCTACCAAAGACGACACAATTGAGCGAATATCACGGGGAAAGACAGCGTCAGTCACCGACCAATTGACTGTCGATCACAGCATAGAGGAATGCCAAAATGGAGACGAAGAACGTCAAGATCATACTGCCTCAAAGAAGAACCAGAGAAGAGAGCGTAAGAATCATCTTGAACAGGCAACACCTGGTGAGAATGAATAGGGGGAAAGACCTGAAGATCCGGAACCGAGGCTGATGAAGAGGAAGACGGCGCAGATGATCTTAAAGTCGATGTAGTTGATAGAGCTAGCAAGATGGTGAGGAGAGGGACGCTGAAAGCTGAAGCCAAAAACCATCGATCATCTACTCACTCATCAGTATCAGAATCCATGTTGCGAACCCTGTGTCAGAGCCAAGATGAAGCATTTCAAGACACAATGCGGCGCAGAAGCTCCAGGCTTTCGGAGATTTAGTGATGTTCGACTTCATCATGGACCAAGGAATCCTTACAGAGAGAGAAGGAGGGAGAGAGAGAGATCTTCGTGGTTCGTGACTGATACACCGGAATGGTTTGGGCTTACCCATCATCATCAGTGGAGAAGTACACTGCCGATGTGATCAATGCGGTCAACCAGGCAACCACTTCAAGGGACTAAGGAAGATCCAGATTGCCTACGCAGACCAAGCACCAGAGTTTGAAGTAGCTATGAAGCAACTGAAGATTCCGTATCGTTCTCTCCCGCATCATCCTCAGAACGAATCCCCTGCAGAGAGCAACAATCAGTTCATCATGGCCACTACAGCCACATGTATGCTCGAAGCAGGTTTACCACCATGTTTCTGGAGCCGCGCTGTGCAATGTGTGGCCATCTATTGAACATTGAACGCGGAGAAGAAGCCCGTGCCGCAAGCTGCATGGGAAAGAGTTTCACGGGGAGAAAATCCTAGTTGGAGCAAAGGTATATTTCACGCCGAGTAGACAGGGAAGGGTTTTTGCAAAAGCAGAAGTTC